TCCTTTCCTTTCCTTTCCTTTCCTTTCCTTTCCTTTCCTTTCCTTTCTTCCTTTCCTTTTCTTTTCTTCTTTCTTCCTTTCCTTTCCTTTCCTTTTCCACGACAGGGTTTCTCGGTGTAGCCCTGGCTGCCCTGGAACTCGCTCTGGAGACCAGGCTAACCTCGAAGTCACAGAGAGACTGCTGGGATTAAGGGCACGCGCCACCATCATGTGCAACTTACTTTCTTTTAAAAAAAAAAAATTCTGAATATTATTGGTGTGTTCCTGTGTGCCTCAATGTGTGTTTCAAAGGACAAGTTTGTAAGGTGATTTTCTCCTTGCACCATGCCAGTTCTGGGGACCAAATTCATTGCCTCAAGCTTGTGGGCAAGCAGCGTTAACTTCTGAGCCCTCTCTCTAGTCCATCCCACCTGCACCTTTGACTTTGACCTCCAGCCATGGCTTCGAGTGTTAGCAATTTCGGAATCACTTTCTCTCTCTCTTTTTGAAAGCAGAATCTCACAGAGTAGCCCGTACTGGCCTGTAATAGTGGCGTAGACTAGCCTCAAACTCACAGATACCCTCCTACCTAAGCAACCATGGTACTTGGAATACAAGCATGAGCCACTATGCCCAGTTTAAACAAAACAAAAATTCTAAGAAAGGACTTCCTCTAACGACACGCACACATGCTCTCGAGATACACAGACATATGTTTCCTGGACTCATTTTTTTGAGTGGTAAATGCGTTTATTTGCGAGGCTGAGGGTGGAATCCAGGACCTTGCTCAATCTGAACAGCAGCTCAGCTGCTCACCAGCACTTCTTTCACTCGTTCACTGCTTTCTTCTTTTGTATCATTTAAGGCAAGGCCTTGCTCCATAGCTCAGGCTGGCTTTGAACTCATGGCAATCCTTCTGCCGAGGTCTTTCTGAGAGTCAGAATCCAGGGTGCGAACCGTTGCTGCTGGCATGTGTCACCAGCTTCTAAGTTGCGGTGATGACTGTATGTGCAGGAACCCTGCTTCCGTATCCATCCTGGCTGAGGACCGAGAGCCTCTGTCTTAGCCTGGCCTTGGAGATTCAAGAAAAGTTTAAGTCCTTGACCTGCCTGGGTTGCTCAGCCATCTTCCTACTCTACGGTGCACTTGGTCTTCAGGAGTGGGGAAATGCAGGAAGCTCCACTGTGGCCTGGGAACTGTGGTTTGCATGGGGCCCAGCGCTTTCCCCCAGAGGAGACAAGTGTCACAGACACCAGAAGAAATAGAGTATTTTCTTCCTTAAATGCATGCTGTGTGTGTTGGGGGAGGGGGGGCCGGATGTGGTGACACATGCCTGTCATACCAGCTTGGAGGCTAAGGCAAGACCCTAGGGAGTTTTTGGCCAGCCTGGGCTATATGGCAAGACTCTGCCTCCACAAAGAAAAAAAGAAAAGAAAAGAAAAGAAAAGAAAAGAAAAGAAAAGAAAAGAAAAGAAAGAAAAACAGAGTCCACAGATAATTAAAATATTGTGTTCTTTAGTTTGTTAACTTTGTATCCCTGCTGTATCCCACTCCCTCTTTCCCTCCCAATCCTACCCTCCCAAAATATTGTGGTTTTTTTTTTTGTTTTTTTTTTTTTTTTAAAAAGCAGGGTTTAGGGGCACACACTTTTAATCCCAGCACTCAGGAGGCAGAGGTAGGCAAATCTCTGTAAGTTCAAGGCCAGCCTGGTCTACAAATCGAGTCCAGGACAGCCAGGGACCTGTTATACAGAGAAGCCCTGTCTTGGAAAACCAAAATAAAAATAGATAGATAGATAGATTAGATAGATAGATAGATAGATAGATAGATAGATAGATAGATATTGTGTCCTTTTTAATTACTTTTTGATGATTTTTAAGTTATTTTTACTTGTAGTCAAATACATGTAACATGAAAATTATTTTCCAGGGCAGAAGAGTACTGTCTGCTCTTCCAGAGGTCCTGAGTTCAAATTCCAGCAATCACATGGTTGATCACAACCATCTATAATGTGATCTGCTGCCCTCTTCTGGCCTGCAGGTGTACGTGCAGATAGAGTGCTCAAATACATAAAAACTAAATCTTTTTTTTTTTTAATCTTTTTTATTTATTTTTGAGACAAAGTCGTACTGTGTAGACCAGGCTGGCCTCAAACTCATAGAATTCTGCCTGCTTCTGGCTCTCAGAGTACCGCAGATTTTCTTTGTTTACTCAAAAAAACCATGTTTTAGGTTTAGTCATTTTACTTTCTGTATATGAATATTTTGTCTGCATATATATGCACCATGTCCATGACTGTTAGCTCGGCTGGGACTGGGGTGGTTTATGGCTGTATGCCACCACGTGGGTTCAGGGAACCTGACCTCGATCCTCTGCAAGAGCAACCAGAGCGCTAAACCACGGAGCCACTTCTCTAAGGGCCGATTTTAAAGGTGGATGCCACCACCCCTGCCTGTTTCTTGATTATTTTTTTTTTTTTTTTTTGAGACACAGGGTTTCTCTGTAGACCAGGTTGGCCTCTACCTCAGAGATCTGCCTCCCAAGTGCTGGGATTAAAGGCGTGGGTCACTTCAATGCCCAGCTTGAAGTTAATTTTATTGTTGTTGTTAGCTTTACCCTGGTGGGGATAGACCTCAGGGCCTGGTTCACACCAGGTATGCGCTCCACCATTGAGTGGCTTCCCCAGCCCTCCTTTTCTGTGTTGAGTGGCACCAAGTTCATTCACTTACTATTTGTTTATTTATTTTATTGTGTGTTGGGGGCTGGGGTTTCGGATGTACGTATGGAGGACAGCTCTCTGGAGTGGATTCTCTTTCGACCTTGTGGGATCTGAGGATCAAACACAATTTTAGGCTTGGCGGCAAATCCCTTTACTGGCTGAGGCTTAATTTTTTTTTTTTTTTTAAGTTGTCTCATTGTATCACCTAGGCTGTGCCCAGCTTATTTTCTGTCTCTATGCATTGACCTACTGGAGGCAATTCATGTCACCAAATCCTCTCTCTTCTTTGTGACAGGATCTCATGTAGCTTAGACTGTCCTTGGACCCACTATGTAGCTAAGGCTGGCCTCGGACTCCTGATACTCCTGCCTCTACTTCCCAAGTGCTGGCATGACATGTATGAGCCGGCACACCCAACTTCATGCGGTTTTTCTCCCCTTCCCTCCTCGCTTCCTTTTCCTTTTATTTTTTAAAATTCAGATGGTATGAAGGTACTTCCCTGAAAAAACAACCCTCCTCCCCACTTCTCTTCCCTACCTACCTCTCCTCCCTGGCAAGCTTTTAAAGTGATCCCTTCTCTCTATCCACTTACAGAGTAACATGTGGCCGTGTTTTTCCTTTGTTTTTGCCATCATCTGTTTGCCACGCTGTTGCTCTGACTTTCCTGCAATGTAGCGGAAAGTTGGACTCATCCAGAATGAGAAAAGCTTCTCTGGACTTGGTACTGCGTGTCAGTCAGTCCAGCAGTCAGGAGGTGGCATCAGGAGGATTACCAGAACTGTGAGATCAGCCAGGTCTACATACTGAGATCTGGTCTTAAAAGCCCAAACGCCAAGCAAGGAAATAAACAAAGAAAACAGAAAGACTAAAAACTGCCAGGCATGGTGGCACACACCTTTAATCCCAGTATTCAGGAAGTAGAGGCAGGTGGGTCTCCATGAGGCTAACCTGATTTACAGAGTAAGACCCTGTATCAAAAACAAGTAACCCTTTCTCCTAAAGATAACTGGCTTTTTAAATTTTTTTTTAAAATCCTCTAGATAGGGCTAGTGGTATACAAAGCACTCTGCTCTCTTAATACCCCCTCCCCATTTTTTTTTTTTTTTTTTGAGGCAGGGTCTCTGTGTGTTTCTGGCACCTCTGAACTCCTTATGTAGACCAGGCTGGCCTTCAATTCACAGAGATGCACCTGCCTTTGCACCTGAGATCAGAGATCAAAGGTTTGTGCCACCACGCCTGGCTTTATTTTTGTTTTATTCTCTGGATTCAGGATCGGTAAACATATCCCTCGTGCCTTTAAGCCACCCAGGGAGAGGCTGGGGAGTTCTGAGTCAGCATTCTATTAAGAATGTCTTTGTTTTTCAGTGAACTTGGGAAAATTCCGCTGTCTTGTTATCAGTGGTGAGAATTCTGAACTGAGCGTACACTAACGCGCCACTGAGGGAGTCTGTCAACTCAAATAGCATGCATTGTGTGTAAGCTCTTATCTTCAGCCGAGGCAACGGAATGTAACCATGACATTAGGAATACAGCCACAGCAGTGTGACCCTGTCCCCGTGGGAGTCACATGGATTTTCCTGTTACATAATACATTGTATCTTGTGACTATGTGGTCCAATATTGGGTGTTGGGGACAAGACATCCCCTCCCCCCACTCTCTTCACCCATGTGAGACAGGCATGTGGTGCTCAGCATCTTCTTCCTTTTAAATGTGTTTATTTTTCTTTCATATGTATGGGTGCCTTGCCTGCATGTATGAGTGTGCACCATGTGTGTGTGCTTCATGCCTTCGGAGGCCGGAAGGAGGTGTTGGATCCTATTGGAACTAACGTGATGAACGGTTGTGGGCAGCTGTGTGAGTGCTAGGAACCAAATCTGGGTCCCCTGTAAGAACGACTCAATCTTTTTTTTTTCTTTTTAAATTTTTATTTATTTTTCTCCCAGAGCTGAGGACCAAACCCAGGGCCTTGCGCTTGCTAGGCAAGCGATCCACTGAGCTAACTTCCCAACCCCAAATCATTCGTTTTAATTTTATTTTATGTGTCAGATCACCTAGAACTGGGGTTACGGACAGTTGTGAGCTGCCATGTGGGTGCCGGGAATTGAACCTAGGTCCTTTGAAAGATGAGGCAGTGCTCTTAACCACTGAGCCATCCCTCCAGCCCCCAGAACTGCAGAGCCATCTCACCTGCCCTCTACTCTGATTTCCATCGATTCGTCCCCGCCCATTCTTGCTATCTGTCATTTTGATATTCAAGTTCTTCTCAGCGTTGAGCAGTAGTGGACCTTCAACCTTTCATTTTAACCATCTCCATTCCTCAGTTAATGCAATGAACTCTTTGGTCAAATTTTCTCTCCTCCAGTCCTGGCCTCAGCTTCTCTGATGAGCCCTGGGTCTCCCCTTAGGGAATGGTACTTTACCAAAACTCAGAGGGCCCCTGGGAGCCACAGAGCTGACCTTCCCCTTCGGGGACCGGTGTGGCCCGGTGTGGTGACTTGATCCTGTCGGCATGTTGTCTTTCAGGTGAACCTTGGACCGGACAAAATGGTGGTGGATCTGACAGACCCCAACCGGCCCCGCTTCACTCTGCAGGAGCTGAGGGAGGTGCTGCAGGAGCGCAACAAGCTCAAGTCGCAGCTGCTGCTGGTGCAGGAGGAGCTGCAGTGCTACAGGAGGTGGGCCCCTGCCGCAGCCAGGATGCGCCCCGCATTCCCGCATTCCACACTGGCTCCTGTGTGCCACGCCAGCTTACTGAACACCACCTATGTGCCAGGCACCAAGGGCACAGCTGCGCAGCTCTCCAGTTTGGGCTCTTAGTATCAAAGGTCCTTGATAGCCTAGCGGGAAAACCTAGCTAGGCGATGGTGCCACGTGCATTTAATCCCAGCATTTGGGAGATAGAGGCCAGTCGGGTCCACAGAGCCAAGCCCCAGGACAGCCAGGGATGCACAGAGCAACCCTGGCTTTGGGGGGAGGGGAGGAAGGAAATCCAGGCTATGTGTGGTTGCCCATGCCTGCAAGCCTGGCATTCCAGAAGTGGAGGCAGGAGGATCATAAACTCATAGGCAAGCCTGTATGACATGAGACCCTTTATCTACAAACATTTCATACATGTGTGGTCATGCATACCTGTAATCCCAATGTGAGTCTGAACGATCATGAGTTCAAGGCAGCCTGGGCTGTATAGTGAGATTGTCGTTCAAAACAACAGTGTCAGGTTTGATAGAACACCTTTTTAATACCAGCACTCAAGGGACAGAGGCAGGCTAGTCTCTACAAGTTAGAGATGTGGTCTACATTGTTAGACTTTGTCTCAAAACACAAAACAGATACTTTATTTTAGCTGGGTGTGGCATGACACCACACTCCTGCATCCCAGCACTCGGGGAGGCAGATCTCTGTGGATCTCTGTGAGTCCAAGGCCAGCCTGGTCTATAAGGAGAGGCCAGGACACAGAGAAACCCTGCCTTGAAAAACCAAAACACAGACAAACAAAACCCAATACCTTAATTGATTTATTTTGCCATCAGGGGTGGAAAGAGATCCACGGTACAGCTACTGACTTACCCTGCTCTCCATTCTTCCAGTGGCCTTCTTCCACCCAGAGACGCTCCAGCGGGAAGAAGGGAGAAGAACGCTGCAGTTACCATGGGCAACGGCGAGAAGGAGGAGTGGACCATCATGAAGAAGCTGTGAGTCACCTGGATGCCCCATCACTGTTAGATCATGACCAGGAGATGCTGTGAGCTGAGGGGGAGGCTGGCCAGCCCCAGGATGGGGAGGTTCTTCTCTCTCTTGGGGTTTGGTTGCAACCAGTAAGAACGTTTTATGCTACTTAGTTATAACTGTAAACAATGCTAGGAGGAAGTCTAAACACTGGACACATCCTGGCAAGGTGTGGCCAGGAGTGTGCTCATCGGATAAGAATCTCTCTGACACAATCACTTTAAACCATAATGTTAATAGCATTCTAATCATTCCTAAGTTAACTTTCCAGGGTTTTACCTGTCTATGGTCAACCAGGGTCCAAAAATATTAAATGGAATATTCCAGAAATAGTGCATTTTCAGCCGGGCATGGTGCTATACACCTTTAATCATAGTACTTGGGAGGCAGAGGCAGGTCATTCTCTGTGAGTGCAAAGCCAGCCTGCTCTACAAAGTGAGTTCCAGGACAATCAGGGCTCTGTTACATAAAGAAACCCTGTCTTGAAAAACCAAAAAAAAAAAAAAAAAAAAAAAAAAAAAAGTGCGTTTTCAATTGCATGCTGTTCTGATAAAGTGTTTTGCCTCCCACCGTGTCCAGTCTCCGAGATCTGGTGAGTCAGCTGGTTGTCTCTGTGAAGCCAGGCTGTGTACACACTCTGCCTGTACACCACTCAGCACTTAGTAACCATCTTGAGCTCAAGGGCGACAACACAGCAGGGTCTAGTGACCCTCCTGGTAATGGTGGTGCCAGGGTAGGAGGACCTGCTGCTGGCAGCTTTCTCAGTGTGCACTTTTCTTTCTTTCATTCTTTCTTTTCTTTCTCTTTCTTTCTTTTTCTTTTCTCTCTCTCTTTCTCTTTCTTTTCTTTCTTTCTCTTTCTCCCTCAAACTTAAAAAAATCTACCTGCCTCTGCCTGCTTGAGTGCTGGGATTACAGTCGAGTCCTGTGCCATCATGCCCGGCTTAGCATACTTTTAAAAACTATTTTATTACATTTCTTATGCCTCTTCCTCCTTCTTCCACCCCAACCCCTTCCAACACCCCAACACTAGGTAGGAGAGAAAGCAGATTGGTGGGGAGAGGGGCTGTAGTTCTCTTGAACTACTTCCTGCTGCTCAGGGTCCTTGGTTCCTTGGGGCAAGTCCAATCTCTGTGTCTGGCTATCACCAACTTCTTATCAAACTGCAACAACAGCAACCAGGAGCTGGGGGGAGGGAGGCACCAGCAGCCGCCTTTCTCAGAGCCCCCTTTCTCTCTGGGCTCTGGCATTTATTCCCTCTCTAGAGTCCTCAGATTAAACTATCTGCAGCTGGCAAAGAGCGCCTCTCAGAGCTCTCACGAGGTAAATCATTTGCTGCTGTGGACAGTCTGAATCAGCCCTATATCCCACACCTGGGATTAAAATAAAACATGTTTACGATAACATAACTGAGTTTTTAAAGACACCAAAACTTCCCACTACATAACTTGGTATGCCAAAGAGAATCTATCTCTCAGGAACTTCTCTTAAATGAAAAGGAGGAGAGCTGGGGCTGGAGAGCTGGCTGGGCAGTAAAGAGCACATTTTGCTCTTCTGTTCTGACAGGGTGTCTTAGGGCTTCTAACTAAGGGATGAAACTCCTGAGCCAAAGTAACTTGGGGAAGAAAGGGTTTAATTTACTACCACTTTTATCTAACAGTTTATCATCGGAAGCAGTTAGGGCAGTGTTGTGTGACAAAACTTTTCCTGGGGAGACACAACACACATGTCCAGACCAAAATACAGCACCACCAAGCCCACCTTGGTGAACCATGAGTTTTATTGGGGTTACTTAACAGGAATATGGATGAGGGGTTGTTTGTAGGAGCAGAAATCTTTAAGGGCTCAGAGGTTAAGAGCACTGTCTGTTCTTCCAGAAATCCTTGGTTCAATTCCCAGCAATGGCATGGTGGCTCACAACCATCTCTACTGGGATCTGATGCCCTCTTCTGGCATGCAGGTGTACATGCAGATAGAGCCCTCATATACATAAAATAAATTTAAGAGAATTTCCAAAAAACTATATATATATATATATATATATATATATATATATATATATATATATACATCCTTTATCTCTTTCCTTTCTTCCCTTTGACCCTTTCCATGTCACACATGTGTGCACACACACACTCACACAAATATATAAATACAACCTGCCCAGCCCATAATATTTACTTGTGTATAATATATGTATGTGTATAAATATATATAATGATTTCAGGGTTGCCCATGGGCATTGCAAAGCCAATTTGTGGTCACTCATTTGGGGAAGACTTGTGTGTGTGTGTTGAATATCTCTTAGTTGCCATCTCCTACATTAAAAAAAAAAAAATCTTTTTGAGACAGGTTATGTCTGTGTACACTGTCCTGGAACTTGGTATATAGACTAGGCTGGCCTCAAACTCACACAAGTCCAACTCGCTCTGCTTCCCGAGTGGAGTGTTCTGATTTAAAGTGTGGGCTTTTATCACACTTTTTAATAGCATACTGTACCAATGAGCTGTATTCCCTGCTCTTTTTGTTTTGTATTAAAAAAATTTTTTTTGAGACAGACTCTCACCAAAAGTTGCCTAGGCTGGCCTTGAACTCCTGATCCTCCTGCCTCTACCACCCAAGTGCTGAGATTACAGATGTTGCCCACCTACCGCTGCACCCAGCAGGGGGTCCCTTTCTCTCTGAGAGGGGAGCATGTTGGGGGAGCATGTGGGGCTCTAAGCTGGAGCGGTCACAGTGAGGTCAGTTGTCTGGGGAGCCTGGGGGATATCCCAGTCCAAGGGGAGCTTCTAAGGGCAGAAACCACTGGTTTCTTTCAGTCTCCCCTTTGGGAATTCTTTGAGCCAATTCACTGGTATTTATTTGAGCCAAAGGTAGCAAAAGTGAAATGCCTGGCCTTGAGGCTGCAGATTCACATCAGGTAAGCTCACTAAACTGGTGGAAGGAAGGAATGGGGGCACAGGTGACTTTCTGAGTAAATAGGTCAGAGTAAGGATTCTTGTCTTTGTCTGGAAAAGTGGGGATACAGGGAAGGGCTCTGTGCCCTGTGGGAATGGACCAGGGCAGCAGTGTAGGGCAGCAGGGCAGCAGGGGGGCAGGTGTGTGTACTCATCCATCGCTTAGGTTGTACCCAGTCTTTTGGTTTTTGATACTGGGTTTCTCAGTAGCCTTGGCTGTCCTGGAACTCCGCAGTCCAGCTCTGTAGTCCAGGCTGGCCTTGAACTCAGCGATCCATCTGCCTGCCTCTGCCTCTGCCTCCCGAGTGCTGGGATTAAAGGTATGTGCCACCACTGCCTGGCTGACAGATTTATTTGTAATTCAATGTATGTATTGGGGTTGTTTATGGGTGCCCATGGCACAGCAGATGTGTAAAGGTCAGACAGTGTATTAAAGTAGATTCTCTTCTTCCAACCCGTAGGGCCCAGGGATCAGGCTGGGACAAGTGCCTGTACCCTCTTTAACATCACACAGGCATTTGAGTGGATCTGAGGCCACAGCCTGCAAGACTGTCTTTTACCATGCTCTCTTTCTTTCCCTTCACCCAGGTTCTCTTTCCGGTCGGGGAAGCATACCTAGATTGAAGGCCACCGCTAAGGTAGTGACCCTCTGTACTTGACAATTGCCAAGATGCCTTCAGGAACCATCTTTCTGTAGTGTGTGTGCCTTGGGCCTGTTCACTCATTTCTCCCTCAAAGCAAAGGAAGATGTTCTCATGGCCCACCTTTTCCCTGGGGACAGAACTGGACAGCCACCAAGCTTTGGCCGGTGTGACAACATGAAAGACTCCAGAAAGCAAAGGAACAGAGCATGGCCACATTCTTCCTCCACACATGCAGGGAGGCCTCTGGTCTGCAGCCTGCTCAATGATAATCCGGTTTTTAACACATGGCAGGGAGAGACAAAAAAGTGGGAAAATACAGAAGTGACTTCACTGATATTTGGTGAATACTTGATCCTTCTCATGCACCCTTCTCTACATGACTTTTGTATTAAAGTGGACTTTGATAGTTTCTATTCTTGTTTCAGAGTGGTTTGAGTTAAGATGGTGCAGGTGCCTGTGGGCATACAGCTCGTGTGTACTCCTTTGAACCCAAGTGAGGTGGCAGGCAGGGAGGCTAAATCCCTGCAGACTGAAGTAAATGCCAATGATCTGACTCATAGGGGACCCAAGCCTTTTGAGGTCAAGATTAGTGCAAATAAAGCACTTCTTTTTTTTTTTTTTCAAACTAAAGCAAGCAAAACATTAGATGTCAGGTTCCCCTAGGACTGGAGTTACAGACTGTTAGTTGCCGTGTGGGTGCTGGGAATTGAACCTGGGTCCTTAGGAAGTGCAGTAGTCAGTGCTCTTAACCACTGAGCCAGCTTGCCAGTCCTCAGAGGACAGCTTTTGAGAGTCAGTTCTGGACTTCTGGAAATCTTGAGGCAGGGCTGCTGGCTCTGGGGCTTCTGGGTAATTCTTCAGTCTCTTGCCTCATCTGCCTGTCCAAGCCCTGCCTTATGTAGCCCTGGCTGGCTTGAAACTCAGGTAGCTGCCTCTGCCTCCCAAGTACTGGGATCAAAGGGGCATGCGCCACAACCAGCAGATGTCCAGGCTTATACAGCCGGTGTGTGTACCCCTGGCTGTCCTGCAAGCTCATGTACACCAGGTTGGACTCACACTCAAAGAAGTACCTGCCTCTGCCTCCCGAGTTCTGGAACTAGGCGTGGCAGCTGGCGATTTTATACAGCCATCCATCCACATCCAGCGTAAACTATGGAACTTGCAAGCATTCACCAGCTGGAGCACTTGGTTTGAAACTCTGGTTTTCACTCTTAAGGATCTCTGCATTGATTACTGTGTGCAGAGCACTAGTCCAAGGCTTTTTCAGTATCGGTTTACCAAATCTGCCTGTAGTACCCCTACGGCATCGGTGCTGGGCAGGACGACACTGAAACATGACCAACAGAGCACAGAATCCTCTACAAAGGATGATGTGAGAATGCCCCTTGAGGGCAACAGGCAGGCTGTTCCTATTTGACAGACCTGCAGGCTCTAAGCCTTCTAGCCCCAACAGGTCACAAGTACTGAAATAGCAAAGCTAGTTGGCATGACATGACTGGGACAGAGGTGCAGCTCTAGGACCAGGTGATGCTTAGACAATTACCTCACGAGCCTAATCTATAGCTGGTGTGCTAGTGCACAGCTTTTATACCAGCACTAGGGAGGCAGATACAGGCAGATCTGAGTTAGAATTCAGCCTGGTCTAGAGTGAACTGCAGGTCAGTCAGGGCTATACAGAGAATCCCTGTCTCAAGGGGAAAAAAAAAAAAAAAAAAAACAAAATGACAGTGTGACAATGGAGCCTGTGTGGGCACGGGCACCTGTGATCCCAGCACTAGGGAGATAGATGTAGGAATAGGAGCAGTTTTAGGCGGGCCCGGGACACGTGAGACTTAAATCCTGGCAAAATACCTTTCAGGGTATCTGGTACATGCTCTTCATTACCCAGCACTAAGCTTCCCAAGAGCCCTAAGTCTCACCCCTTTTATGTAAGTTAATCAGGGGCCTGGTTCTAAAACCGTGCTTGAATTCTGGCTCCCTGGAACAGACCTCAAAGTCCACTCTGCAGAAAGCCAGATCTCAGCCTTCCTATTTATATGCATAAAGGTAAACATAATTTATAGGAACCGGCTCCATGTATGCAGGTCCCATGGGGTCAAACTCAGGTAGTCAAGCCTGGTGGGCGGAACCTTTACAGGCTGAGCCAGCCAGCTCTGCTGCCTGTCTTATTCCAACTCCACCTTATTAAAAACAACAACGCATACGTGGCCTTGCCTGGCAATAAATATTTTAATAATTTTTTTTTGCTTTTATGATGACAAATGTTTCAAGTTTATTTCCTTTTTTGTTTGCTATTTAAATACAAAGCTAAGCCACAAACAGGTACAACCAAGACATTTTTATCTCACAGTTACACCCTCCTGTCGGATCCTCCTCCAAGTCTGGCCGCTGACAGGGCTAGCAAGGGGTGTGGGGAAGACTTTCTTAGGTAGCACCATCATGAGGCTGGGGGATGGGGGAAGGTGTTGGGGACAAGGGTAGGTTCTCATACCTGGCTCCTGAGTCCCAGCCCCTGGTCTGAAGGTGAATGGTGACAATTAGTCCTGTCCAGGGACAAGGAAGCCACCTACTCTTGCTATCAAAACTTAAGCGTCATCCTGGTTATCTGCCTGCTACACACCCTGGTGCCAAACACATCTGATGCCTGCTGCTGGCAGGGGTCCCAGACTGGCAGCATCCTCACAGGATACCAGGGGTTCTGCCTTGACAGCAGGAAAAGAACTTTGCACGCAGCAGAATTGGGGTTGGTGGTGGTGGGGAAATGGGCTTAGTAATGTCTGGTCCCACTATAAAACTTCACTTTTGATTAGAATAGGGTACCATCTCAAATCTTCTCTACACACCAGCCAGCCAAGCCAAAAAGATAAAAAGAATCCCAGAAGAAAAAGAAAAAACGCATTCATTTCACTCCCTTCAAAACCTATATACATATAAGTTGTTTTCTGTGGTTTTTTTTTTCTATTTTTTCTTTTTTTGATTTTTTTTAAAATGTTTCGTTTTTTAAATTTTTTTATTTTTTAAAATAAATTCAGTGTTCACATTTCTATAAAGAATTAATGCAGTTTCAGACCTGCCCTGCCTGGGCAGGACAACGGTGCTTTTCCCGGCCTTCCTCTAGTCTGACTGCCCACCCTGATGCTTCGAGGTGCCTGGAAAAGCCTTAAGCTGTAAGCCTGTGGAAGAGGTGTGTTCCTGGCCGGGCCTCTGAGCCTCAGGCTCAGTAAGCTTTGGAGAAAGCAGAGGGGAAGACTAGCTTACTGTGAAACTTTTGTTAAAAAATATTCCTACATGTCAATGTGTACGCCTGTCAAGACGCTGAGGAGAACAAGAGCTTGGAGACATCCCGTCCAGGCTGTGCGTGGGGGGAGGGGTGTGACAGCACCCTCACACCCGCCTGTCCTTGGACGTGGGGTGCGGGGGAGTCCTGGCTTTCATCTTGGGCAGAGCCCGGCTTCCTAGTTCATGTTCGACTCCATTCTCTAAAACCTGTGCCGAGTCTCAGACTGCACGGGAAGCACAAACGTTTAGCTTGTATGCAAAAAGGTACAAAAAACAACTAGAATATAAAAGTTTTGGTAATATAAGGCCATCTGTTCAAGTCCGCCTCGGAAACCTGTAACAGATATTTAAATACTACATGAAAAGGCATCTTTTTAATATACTTTTAAAAAACATTTGAAGTAATTAGCTAAGTGTGTGTGTGTGTGTGTGTGTGTGTGTGTGTGTGTGTGTGTGTGTG